TGACGAGCATGCCGCAGAGTGGGAAAGACTGGCGGAAGCTGTACGTCACCGAGGACTTCTTCTTGCTGAAGATCTTTGTGATGACCAGCAAATCGTTGAACAGGAACACCTGGACACAATTAAACATAATGTCAAGACACCATTGTTAAAGTGTCAGTAAAATATTAAGAAAGAAATTGTTGATGTTCTTTTTCAAGCATTTTTTTCACTTCAAGATTCAATTTTTTTGGCTACACAAGGTGATCAGCGCGCTGCGCTGTGCCCTCACTCCGCATTTCACTACGCATCAACACACAAAAAATTATGTTACCAACTTATACGATTTTGACCGCGGCGCCAAGATACTTAAAACATATGATTTTTCAAGGGGATTGAGAGGGATGACAGTTGCATTACCTCACGCTGGTGCACTCCGGGTCGTTCCTTCTTGTGTATGTCAGGTATCTCGTAGAGACGGCAGTAGCAGACGAGGCGGCGGTGAGGCAGCGCCAGGTGCGGCTTCTTGCCCACTATCGTCGCCTGGACCTTCATCACCTGCAAACAAGTTTATTACATAAGTATAAAATTAAAGTTTAGTTAGCACATTTTTATATTACGCTACTTTTTTACAAACTATCATAGAGGAACCTTGGTGTCAATAGTTCTTTTTTTGGCTTCATTGACAGGGCTCGCTCAATGTTAAAGAACTTTCACAAAACCCTTGTCGTATCGTACTGCCTAGTTCATATCTTTAGTGTAATTTTCTAACTTACACTTACGTTACGTAACTAATATAGTTCTTTCCAAATATTTAGGCGGCCCATGGTCATGTTCGCAGTACCTTCCCCACATGCATTCCGCTACGCCCCAACACTCCTTACATAGTTTGCGTAGCGGGTCGAGCGAACTTAAGAGTCTTCAAGATAGAAAAGTACAATACCTGTGTGACATGGTCGCTGCCAGGTCGGAACTCGCTGGCCTTGACACGGTCGTAGATACCGGCGAGCATGTCGCGATCTATGTCTCCGCAGTCGTCGATACCGCGCAGATTGCGCACAAAGTCGTCGAGCGACATCCGCGCCTCCGGCTTCAGGTTCGGTGTGTGCAGGTCCGTGTTCAACATTATTATTGCGAACGCCAGCACGAATATCTGCAAAAATGTTTTATGATATATGAAAAAAAAACATATATGCAACTTGTGAAGTCGCGATGCGTCTTTAAACTCACAAAAAAAAATCTAACTCGGCACATGATGCAAAAATCATTACAGGATTTTTGAGTTTAACATATTTGCAATTCCATGCTTTTTCTGAAATGTGAGGAGCCATACCGCCAACCCGCACTTGGCCAGCGTGGTTGACTATGGCCTAATCACCCTTAACTTAGGGTAGGCTCCGAGCCCCTCGGTGAGCTGATAATGATGATGATGATGATGAGGAGCCATAGACCTCATATAGAGAAATCTCTCTATTTGTTCGTTTCATTTTTTTACAGAAAACTTGCTGTTGAAAAGGGACAAGTATTGAAATTGCAAAAGTTTGAATTTTATTAGTATGTATCTTGAGAACTGCTCAGCGGATCTCGTTGAAATTTGGCAAAGATGCAGAACTTAGTTTGAAAAACGCGTAGGCTACTTATAAAGTGTTATTTTTATTCCGCGCGAAAGGAATTGAGGGCGACACCTAGTGACGTAAATTAGAAAGTCATTAAGGAGCTTATTCACTAAGTATATTTGTTGTGGACATACAGTGTCCTGCGTGCGCAGTCGCTGCACAAAGTCAGTGTTGCAGACGCAGTATCTGCGGGCGAAGGCTTCAACCAGACGTTCAATCTTCTGCGCCTCTCCCGGCAGTCGGAAGTGAGCCTGGTAGCGGCGCAGCGCCACGTCCACAGCCATGCCTGATAGATCCAGCTCGTTCACGAAACATCTGGAAATGTTAGAAATGACCATAGGTTTAATCGATGCATATCATCCGCACTCAGAGTGGTTAATTATGTATTGTAGGAAGCACTTAAAATGTTCATTTCTCATAATAAATCTACAATAAAGGCGAGAAATTCATTTTAAATATTACTAATTGTGTTCATTGCAATGTAATACTGCTTTTGCCCGCGACTTTGCTTCGTGCGGAATTAAAAAATAAATAAAAAGTAATCTACCCCTAAACAATATTCATCCAGATCTGTTTAGCAATTTTGGATTTAGCTTGTAACAAACATCCATCCATACATCAACTTTAGTACGTATAATAATATAAGTTTGTCCAACTAACTCGAGCACGGCCATGTTGAAGGGGTTCTGCAGGTTGCCGAGGTACTCGCCGATCATCTGCTTGCTGAGGCCCTTCCTGGTGATGAGGAAGCGCGCCACCCCGCGCGGGGAGTTCTCCAGGAAGCCGCGGGAGATGAGGTACGCGATGCCGCGCTCCGGCTTCTTGTTGAACAGGTTCAGACCCACGCGGTACTGACGTTTGCGCACCGTCTCCGATACCTGGAATGTTGTCCAAATGCTGATGTTAAACTAATAAAGAATTTTTAGCTCAACACTAATCGATCAAGAAATCCATAATACATAATCGTTGGTTTCTGAAGTCAAAATTCGCGTACAGAACAAATTTTCATTATCTTCTACAAAAACAGATATGTTGTTAAAGAAGATTTTGCTCTCAGAAACTAACTATGAAATAATCGATGCTAATCGCTATAACTGAAAATTTCCTGCATGATTCTTTATAACCATTGAGTATGGTATGTTATTTTATGTTTTTTTTAAGACGTGTAACTGTTGAGCGAGTGGACTGTATTATGAAATGAAAGGCTGGTTGGTTGCTGATGATTGAATGAAAGATGTTGTACAAAATAGGCAAAATATGATTGATGTGTCGGCGCGCGGAGTGCTGAAGCGCAACTGAAGGTCGGGGTGTGAGGGCGCGCGGGGCGGCGGGTGAGGTCTGGAAGGGACCCCCGCGCTGCTTCCCCCCCGGAAGTGCCGTAGTACGGAACAGTAACTTACACTTGTTTTCTTAAAGGATATTCTAAAGTATTTAATTCAAAATAGTTGTATTAACATACCGCAGTGACCTTGACAGGTTGAAGCTGATGCTGGTGCTGGTGCTGGTGCTGGAGCGCGAGGTGGTCGTGTGCGGGGCGGCAGCAGGCGGCGGGCGGCGCCTCGTAGTATGGCGGCGCTTCCTGCCGCTTCCACACCGCGTACCGCTCGCCCTCGTACAGCGAGCCCGACGCCGTGCGCTGGTGCTGCTGGAACTGCTGCAGCTGCTGCAGCTGCGGCTCCGGCAAGTGCGTCTGCGTCTCCTGCACACATGTTAACGTTGGTTTACACATCCGTAACGTACGTACATAGGTTAGCCTACTATCATATTCTGTGCATAGATATAGCAAAGATTCTAGTGTTGTTAATATTTTATTTAAGTTTACTTTCGAGTAGGGTTGACGACACTCAAGCGACCGAAAATATTTATTTTTTTATTAAAGTCATGACAATATTACCGGTGCTCTAGGCTGGTACGGCTGGTGGTAGTGATGGCGGTGCTCCTGCGAGGATGAGGATGAGGAGGACTGCACGGAGGACATGGAGCCGCCGCGCACGCCCCCGCCGCACTCCGCACGCCGCAGCGACACAGGGCTCTCCGCACTGCGACACAACATACATTGTTTACGACACGATGTATTGATTACTAAAAAAAATTAAAGATCTAATAAATTTAAGATAAAAATTTAATCTGATTTGACGAGTCAATTTAGCCTTGAACCCAGATATTTAATTAAAATGAATCAGATGGAACCGTAACTTACGAACGGATGAACTGATTATGTTGAACCTCCCAAAGACTCGTAGAATTTGTAACATCAATAGAGTTTATATGCAACATACTTGAGTGTAATACTGCTGGTCCTCTTGGGCACCTCCGGGGGCAGCCTGCGCGCGGCAGCTTGCAGCGCCGCCAGCTGCTGCTGCTGGCGCGCGCTGGGAGACGACAGCGGCTTGCCGCCTGACGACAGCAGGTTGCCGTATATAGGACCTGTAAATATACATCACAAGCTCATCTTACTAATATTATAAATGCAGTTTAGATGGATATACAGATGTTTGTTAGAATGTATCTCCAGAACGGTTGCATGAATCTCGCTGAAATTTGGTATAGATGTAGAACATAATCTGAAAGAACACATATGCTACAATTTTTTTACATTCAGCATGGAGTCGCGGCCGACAGACAGTTTATGAATACGAATTTTTACAAACATTACTTTTGAATGTTAATAGAGATTAACTCCATATGAGTAAGACTACTTGGTTTTATGGTAAATGTTATGGTAAAAACAGATTTCGAATTTTCAAACACCATCTTTTGTCGACCTCTTACATGAAGACTGAGTCTTAAACGAAATTCATATTTACAATGTTATGGCACATCATAAGAAACATACCTGAGTTATTGAGCAGCTGATGATTGTGCAGAGATTCATTGTGCGAGGAGGAGGTGGATATGTTGGTGACGGATCCGCTCACTGAACAGCTGCACACCTGCAAAACATTCGTCAACAACATAATGGTTAATAAGCATACCGGGGAAGTATATGAATCGAATTATACCACACACAACATAATCAGCCAAGACGTTTAGTTTCTACGGTTCGTTTGGGTACAGTGCTCCACATTTACGCATTTTTAAATACATAAACTTTATATCTTAAATATTGTTTAACAGCAAATAGATAACAAATGCATCCGCAAACGATAAAACAAAAAGAACCGGAATGTAGACATTTTTTATATCAAATATCTATTGCACGAAAGTTTAGATGGAAGGACGGTTGTTAGAAAGTACGGCCAGAAAGGCTGCATGGATCTCACTGAAATTTGCCATAGATGTAGTTAAAACATAGTCTGGAAGAATGCATAGGCATTCTTATTAAGTTTTTTTTTATTCCGCGAAAACAGAGTTTCAAGCGACAGCTAGGAAGGCAATAAAATAGTTTATAACTTTAGGCGATAATTAAAATATAAATGAACGTAATTTTTTAATTACATTTTACTTCATACTCAGAGTTAATAACTTAATACTTAAATAATGAAGAAAAATACAAAATAGTAAATATTACAAAAAAGGATTTTAACAGACAGACGGACAACAAAGTGATAAGGGTTCCGTTTTTTTCTTATGAGGTACGGAACACTAAAAAACAACACAACATTTCGTAGTTACACTAACATTATATTTTCCCTTGACGCCGATACCAACTACGTTTAAAGTCGCAATGAAATGTTCATTTTTCACTAATTTCTTCAACAGACGCCTAGTTTTATATCTACACATCACGACCACGTCGCTACACGGTCCGTGCTTCACTGATAAGTTGTATAAATATTACGTAGGTGCGAAAGATTCGCGACCGATAATTTTTCCAACAAATATTTGATCGCGGTACAGATTCCTGTATTATTTCATATTGAGTGTCATAAAATTAACGATAAGAAGACTAGAGACTATACATTCAATGTACTGGCATATTCATATATTTCTTTGAAATAAAAACCGTTGTATTCCAACGCATTGGGTTAAGTAAATCTCACAAATTTTTTGTCTGACGTAAAATCAATTTAATAACGCAAGAAAGAAAAATCCGAAATTTACGAATTACCTACATCTATCCAACGTTCTTATTATGACAAAGGAAAATATTGCGACACAATCTGCATATATATGTGAATAAATTCAAAGATATGTATAAAATCAATCAATCAGCACTGGGCTAGCATGGTTAATTGAGACCTAGTCACCCCTAACTTAGATTAGGCTAAAATACTTCGATAAGAATGTGTCTGAGCTGACAACATACAGTCCAATTTAACATAATATATATAATTGTTTTTAGACGTCTTGACGGCTCTTAAGTTCGCGCAAGCCGTTACGTAGAACACAATGTTAGGTGTACTGGGAAGCGGTGGGAGGGCACTGCGCATCACGCACATGACCTTACTCCGCCAAGATATTTGAAAAGAGTTATACGGTATGTTACCCCGCTGTCGGTGTCGTTGCGATGATGCGGCGGCAACTCGCTGGCTATCATGTGTATTTGATGCGCGGAGTGCTGCACGCGCGCCACCATCGCCTCCACCATCGCTTCGTTCTGCGCCTCACATGCCATGTGGTTACTGCAATGTAAACAATACATATTACTACTTGTATCACAGATCTGATTAAGTAATCATTCAAAGCTTGTGAATGTGGCCATAGATTGAATTAAGGTGAGAGGCTACCCACCCGTGAGGGTATTAGATAGAAAAGAATAAAAAAATCTACATTTCAAGTTTGTTTGATCGAAAACATTAAAAGACGTTGCTAAAATAATTCAATACAACAGGATCTCACCTGATATCGACGTCGTGTCGTTCGCGCAGTGACATCGAGCGCATCGGCCTCGTCATGGCCATCATCTTCTCTGTTCCCGCGGGACTCTTTTGTAACAACGTGTTCGCATATATATCGTTACCTGAAAATATAATATTCGAAGCTTTAAACAAGAAACACAACAAATACAATGATTGAGAAAAACTCTGGATGTCAACAAACTTCTAAATTATTGTATACCTTAATTCAATATACAAAATTACTGGCAGTTTAGATTTATAATGTTTTCTGTAAAGAGGTTGTAATGCAAGAATTGAACTGCTTGCTCATTCAACATTCTTCAAGTGTTTTCTTTTTTAATTACCATTAACAAGTTGTCCGTGATCGCTACCGTCCTGTAGCCGTCTTGCATTAGAGTCGGCAGCTTTGGCCATCGCTGTGATAGCACTGAATTTCTTTAGGAGTTGTCTTCGTCTGAACGCGCGCTGTATTGTGACTGCTGCGCGCCGTGCACGTAGACCTCCGTATCTCCTCTCCAGGATCTCTACTTGTTTATCCAGGAGGTCTTGAGACATCTCATAACGACTGTAAAGTTAAACAACATATCATAATTTCCGTGATTTGATTTGATGTAATGATAAAGGTTTTATCACACCTAACCGATATCGTGTTAGCGTACCGAGCTATTGGGTAGGTGTGAACTTGGTAGATGCATGATTGGTGGTAGTTGCTCACTAAATGTGATTTGGATTCGGCCAGTGTGAGATTGGGAAGACGTGAGTTGATATATTCGGTAAAATGTATGTTTTTGCAATTCTAAAAGAGCGAATGTTTTGCATAGAACTAATAGTATTTATCAACCGATATGAAACTAAATACTTGGTACTGATTTAATGATTGTTTGGTGATATCCAAGGTACAAAATGTTTTAAAATAATTCATGCTTAACAATATTTTTAGTAAATGTAGTGATCTTGCATAGAACTTGAGTTTTTCAAAGAAATTTGTTTGAAAATCTAAAGGAAATTGAAGAAACTACATCTTGTTGGAAGATATAAATGTAAATGTTAGAAAGTTAATTATCTACTTGTTATATATTAATTGTGTATATAATAAAATAGTTATATAATATCTAGTTACAGTCTTATTTTTTTAGTATTTCCAGTAAAAAAATATATTTTACAAATATTTCATATCGAAAATATTAAAAGCCAAAAGTTAGTTCGCAACTCCATGCCAAGTTAAATTTTAAACGCTCTTTTAGAAATAAAAGCTTACTCGTTAAGTTCAACATAGTTATCGAATTTGCAGAGGAAGTAAGTTATCTAAGGTAAGGTTGACAGTACAAGCATTCCTGAGGTAGGGGGACGTACCCTCTAGTCAATTTACCCCTCTTAGAGGGCAAACTCGGGTCTTTTTGGGTTATCCCCGTTGTTCCAATGATCCCAACGTCTGTGCCACGCCTAGAGAAGGAACCATATTAGATACACAAATTACACTAATACTAAAAGTGTTCAGAATTTACAAATAAAAAAAAACTGTACACAGTATTAGTAGTCATCGCCCATCACCCATCACCAAACTAAACAAATGACCAACCTCACTATAAAATATAGCAGTTGTTATCATAAATACGACTACGGATTTCGTTTACCACTTACAGCACCTCGTAACAAAACTAACCCTTTGATATTCAGGTCAGGTCAGATTTTTAACGTTAAGAAAACAAACCTTGTGTACACAGTTGTCGAGTTTTGAGGTCGTGTCATTTTAAATGTGCTAGAACTGCCAAAAAAGATACTAACGACCTACAATGCGGAAGATGTGCCGCAAAATAAAACTGAATCGCCGACCTTTTTTAAAATAGAAAACCTTATTCTATTATTACCTACAAGAATTTTTATAAAGTGAAAACGTCATTAATATTTTATCAATACCAGTCTTTTCGATATTTACATTTCAATAGAACTTACTATTAAATACTGTGAATTATTCTGTTTCTATTTCTTGACCTCTTACAATAGCATACACTATAATTAAAGGATTATTATTAAGAGAACAATTACTTTTCAGTCTCATAACATTACATTTTTTATCTTTTATTTTTTATCCTTAAACAATGCATTTGTTTAAACACCATGGTCGAGACTTGCATTCCATGTGGGGTACTACTAAAGATTCATTAAGAATCTACGAGGTCTAACATGAGCTTGCAGCTAAAGATCAACAGTTGCAAATGCATCACATCTGAGTGCCCATGTAGACGCACTTCTTTGATCAAGCAGAGATACCACCTAACCTACAATTAATTCGAGAGCTTCTAAAAATTTGGACGTCGGTACAAAGGGAGTATAGTTGCAAAGAGGTTATTACCTGTTGTTGTGCACGGCGAGGCCGAAGCCCTCTGGCGGCGCGGCGATGTAGAGAGGCGGTGCGGGCTCGGCGGCGGCCGCGCACAGCCCGGCGCCGGTAGACGCGTTCGATGCCGACGAGCATGACGAGTTTGAGTGGTTTAAACCTGAAAATTTATTAAAAACGAAATTTTAATGCCGCATCCAGACTCGTTTACTGGGCGCTAACAACTTCTAATGTGACAATAAAAATGGTTAACAGTTTCAAATTAATAAGGAATTTTCGAAGATAACGTTAAATGAAGCTGAATGAGAATTAAGCTGTCACGGCTTAACAAGTTGGTAGATAACAAACCTTAAACGGTATGGTGTATGGTAGTAACTAAGATTATTTTTAAAAAGGTATGAAATAAATTTATTAGCACAAGTCCAGTTATGTTCAGCTAATCAGAATCGTTATGTATTAGGAATTATTTTATGAGTGACTTACCTTGCAGCGGTCGGTGTACAGCGGTGACGTATCTATTGCCCTCCATGTAGCCCCGGTCGGGCTCCGCGTTGTGACCATGGTGCCCGCTGTGTATCGAATGCTGGTGCGAATAGAAACCGTCCGGGGGGTGCAGCGTTACGCCGCTACCGGACTCCTCCTCGTCCACCTTCTGAGAGAAGCTGCAACAATACAAACAACTAGTTAACAACACTATTATAGAACAACAAATTCTTATGCTTGTATACCTACTTCAATTTGAAGTAGATACGATAGGATCGAATCGAATGACACAATTATGGGTCGAGCCGTTCAAATACTAGGAGAGCACAGCAACTTATGCCCCCGAACAAAACATAACCCTACTGGCATTCAGCCAAAAGTACAATAAAATAAAAACAACTACCCGACATAGAAAAAAATAATCTTAAACATTAAGATATTTACTCATTATTTTGACCACGTATTTACAATAATGAATTGCGTCAAAAATTAACTTGAAATCGAGTAATTTCATTTTCACATTTCGTTAACACTTTCGATAAACAAAATATGACGTCATAATTCATACCTTATAAGGCGAAATGTTAACATTAAGCTATGAAAAGGTGAGAATATGAAGTGGTGGCGCGTGGTAACAACAAAAACCAGCGAATGCGGATGAAAACTTACAAGCGTCGACATTTACACATGTCCAGCTTTGGTACCAGTTGGCGTTAGGGTGACCATAATATTTTATAAAAATAAACACGAGGACGTTTGACGTGCGAATAAATTAATTAAAAATCATTAACTCCAAATTTGTGAATTAATTAATTACTTTAATAATGAGTAATGATTCAAAGGAAAGTATCAAATCTTTCACTTTAATAGCAGCTTTAAAACTTAATGTAGAAAATTATTAAATAATTTTTTTAACCACAATTAATTATATTCGTTAAACAATAGTATTTTTATCCGAGATTTAAATAGTACAAGATGGTCACCTTATCACTGGGCTGACGGGAAAGCGGACGGCATTGGGGAAGTGATATTTTTAAGGCGAGAAACCTTTAGATTTAGTTAGCTAGTTTCGTAGTTGTTTTATTTTTCCTGAACCAAACTGCCTTATACGTTTAAATTAAAAGTAAACATGACAGTTAAAAATATAAATAAATTAATTTTAACCTGATCTTATTCTATAAAAGAGTGCGAGGAAATCCGCTTTAAAAATATGACTATAAAGGTGTCCAAATGGAGTTCTGTGGTCTCTGTCTACCCCTGTAGGTTACGGGCGTGAGTGATGTTGCTGTTGTTGTAGTAATCGATAGTATTTCTATCGAAGATATTGCATTGTATATAAAGTTTGCAGCGTTTAGTTTTACAAGTAATTTAAAATACCTTTTCAGCTTTAGATAATCAAACTAGTGCTACGGTTTCAGTTATTTAGGTATCAAACAGAAACCGGTTTCACTCATTATCATCCTTATTAAGCAGTTCAGTGGAAGTCGTATCATAAATTAATATGCTAATGAACGTCTTATGTTTCAATTAGCGATAGCTGCTTAAAGAATTGATAAGGTGTTCACATAAACGGCAACCATGCGTAATACGTAGTCTCGAAGCCTTTCCTATTTAAGTCAACGCCAAAGACGTTTATCATTTACATATTGTAACAATGTAACAGTTTAAAAACACGAACTATGGTAAACCAACACACCGAAGAAAAACCATAATCTTACAGAAAACTATTTTATATTCCTCTTTCCATTGTGTAAGTGTATTTGATGGAGCAGGACGCATAGGAAGGGAAAATATTCTCTTTCTGTGCGTCTCCTCCTCCGTCGATTAAAGGTAGGCAACGCATCTGTATTTGTGGATGTCTATAACATCGCCATTTCGGTGTATTCAGTTGACTGTTTAGTCCTTTGTCACCTTATACTATTAAAAAATCCGATCACTCTCACTTAGGTTCACACATAACGTATCATATTTTGATCTACGATATCTTGGGGCTCGGTAATGCTTCCTTACGAGGCGATAGACTTTCTTCCCGAAATGTCATTAAACGCATTCTGATTCCATTTAAACTCTACCAACATAGAAGCGTAGAGTGACGAATGTTACACAATCGAAATAAAAATATTCAAGACATAGAGTAGGTACATAAACACACAAAATGCTCTTATAACTTGCAACACGTTAGCAGTATTTTATCAAAGACTGTCGTATCTGCTGCAAACATTTATTCTGTGGAGTGCAACTGACGCCGGAACCGCAAATACAAGTGAATTCATTGCACCATTTGTTTGTGTTTAATTGTCTAGAAACACACACACATTTATTTCACTCTATTCTACTTTCTATTTCAAAATCATTTTAGATAGAACAATTCAGTTGGAATATTTATATATAAACGTGATGAGTCGAACTTATTAGATTAATCTTTCAGTAGCGGCGTTAAAATGTAAGGGCGCACTACCCTTAGTAGTATATAGGATGTAGCCTGAGGCACCAGAGTCGGGTATGAAGCGGCTCCTGGGATACCCGTGAGATACCCTATTTTTGGAAAATCTCGCCCAGGGCGCGGAATGAAATCCGATTAAATAATTTAAAACCTTGTATCGAGATATTCGGTCTTCGAATAAACAAATGACTCTATGATTGGTTATGAAGAAAATATTTACATCCACACGTTAAATGTGAAATAAAAATGTATCTGCTAGTTATTGCTTTAAAAGCTGAGATCAAAGTCCATTCATAATTCACAGATACATAGTAAAAACAAGGCACTTATAAGATTTTATAATTACGCTGAGATAAAATCGCTTCCATAATAACGAGTCAACGGAGCGAAGAAATTATCGCGGTGACCGGGTAACCGGCAAAGTATTAATTATAACAACAATATGCTTACTTATAACTATTTACATTAATATTATAAAGAAAAAAACAAAATCGTCCCAGAGGCCTAATTTTAGTCCTCTTTCCTTCCCACTCTTTTCCTACAAAGAGAGGATGGGAACGAAGTGAGTTGCGGGGGGAGGGGAATGAATAGAAAGGGGTAATATTCTTTTTCTGTGCATCCCCTCCTCCGTCGATAAAATGTAGGCAAAAAATCTGCAATTACAGATGTCTATTGGCAGTGCTGGCTTCGCTATGTCGGTGATTTCGAGTGGCCGCTTGCTCGTATGCCACCTAATATGAAAAGAGAAAAGGAGGATATAATAAGAAGCCTTAGGATTTTCATTCATGTGTGTTTGCTTGCTTGCTCGACTGTGACCGCCGCACTTGTGCGATACTTCTCTAATTACCGGCCATAACGCATTACATATGTTTAACCGCTTTACGAGAAACTTACATTTTAATCATGCCGTATTTCTCATTGAGTCAAATATAATAGGGTAGGTACTATAAACAGAATATTTTTTAGGAGAATTCACCATATACTTTACGAAAATTAAAGAAACAGCTTTTTTATCTGTGGATATTTTAAGTCTTAAGAACAATTTAACAGAGAAAACAAACAAATGAACATAAAAGCCAAAAACTTCATAAACTATGTCACTAATCCTTGGTATTTATTTAAACTGTAAGCAGACAGCTACAGAGGAAGGTCGGCACAGAGTAGCACAAACAGAGACATAACTTGAAACTTTTTTACATTCCTGCCTCAAACATTGTTAGCTGTCGGAGAATTAGATCAAAGGACGAGAGATAGGGCGGGGAAACGAGCCGTATCATAATATATAGTTTCGTGGGCGGACATAATATACAGTTTAGGACATTTATATCCCACCCATTTCTGTGACGTCAATTTACTTCCACAGTTCAATAAGGTTGAAAAATTGTCACAGCAAAGTAAAAACTTGACAACGTACTATACCTAACATCTTCAAAATCACAGGTACTTTTCCTCACTGACAAGCAAAAAGACAAGGAGACGCATGCCTATGTGTGAATCTTTATGACATTGTATTCCGTAAGTTGTTTAGCGACTAAAATTGCCAAGTTTCGATTATTTAAGCAGCCTTGGGTACGACCAGTTCCAGTTCACTGTAAGACATTTGATCTTAAATGGGAACTGAATTTAATTCTTTGTCTGTAAGTAAATTTCATTTTAATTTACCTTTTACCTTTAAAGATAAGAGAGATTCCATAA